TGCGCACCTCTGGGGGATGGTCTAGGGTGAGGACCAGGGCTGCATGCGCACCTCTGGTGGACAGTCTGGGGTGAGGACCAAGGCTGCGTTCCCACCTCTGAGGGACATAGGGGTCAGGGCCTTGTTGAGTCCCTGAGGCCCTATAGGAGGGACTGCGGGGGTAGCGGGAGGCCCAGAGGCCAAGTTCTGCTCAGCATATGGTGAGCTCTCGGTCAGACTTCTCACAGTAGAACAGGCTGTGTAATGAGGTGGAGAGCGCCTCGTCACTGGGGGTCTGAGCAGAAGCAGGATAGCCCACAGAGGAGAGTGCTGCCTAGGGCAGGAAGCCAGATCAGACCAGTGGCTTTCAAATAGTCCTTTTGCTGAGACCTGAGATTCCACACAGATACTTTGAAGAGTCTACCAAGTTTTTTTGTCCTGCCTAATGGTGAAGATTTCAACTATTTGTTCATTGAGACTTTTCAATATCATGGTTACTTTGTAAGGAAAGAAAAAGTATAGGTGCTCCCCAAGCTTTAAAATCCCATAAAGCCTCTCCAGCAGATATGCTGGGGTCCCTTCCAGCCAGCCTGTTGTCTGGGCTCTGCCGGCCAAGGGGCACGTGGTGTCACTGGCATGCAGGTTGCCCTTAATCCCAGCCCTCAGAGATCTTCAATGCGGAAGTGCTCTTTCGAGAAGACTGCTCCCCAGATGAGTTCATCGATGTCATTGTGGGCAACCGTGTATACATGCCCTGCTTGTATGTAAGTGGTGCTTGTGCCCAGGACCTGCAGGGGTAGGAGTGAAGGAGCCCCTCCTCCCCACTCTTCCCTCTGTGCCTCAGTGCTGGGCAAGTATTTCAGACATGTACAGCTTGAAGCCAGGGTTCTAGCCTAGCCTGCCTTTCTGGGGACCTGGTGCCCCCAAGTCCTTCAGCCTTCCCCCAAGCCTTGAGCCAGGCAGGGAGGCGTGGACCTTTCTGAAAGCTACAGGAGGGCTCGCAGGTCCATGACCGCTGCGGGGCATCTCTGACTGCTTTGTACCTTTCCTTCCCCAACACCTCCCTCCACCTTTAAAACTAGGTGTATAACAAAATTGACCAGATTTCGATGGAGGAAGTGGACCGCCTGGCCCGGAAGCCCAACAGTGTGGTCATCAGGTGAGGCATGGTGCTCTGCATACCAGCACCCTTGGCTGCCCCAAGGGGTGCCTTTGTTCTGGTCAGTATGGCCGTGAGGGTGTGGGTCTGTCCATCCCCACTCAGTGCCATGCTGGCAAGGCCAGCTTGAGTCGTCAGGGTTGGCTGGGTGATGTCTGGGAACTTGGGTTAAGAAAACAGAGGTGGATTTCATCGACGAGGTTAGGATGGTTCAGAGGTATAGTATTTAACCATAGTTCCTAGGAAGGCCAGGACTTAAGTACTCTCCTGGCATCTGCCCGGCCACAGCTCAGAGGGAAGAGAGAGTGGTGCTTGTGGGGTTTACTGCCTCCACCAAGGATTCCTCTTTTGGGGTGTTTTTGTTCCTGTGCTTCATTGGGTTGGCTTCCAGCTCACAGGCACCGTGCAGCTTCTCTGTGAGCTCTGCTGACAGTGGCAAGATGCTCAGGGGACAGGCAGTGGCGACTGGTGCCAGTTGGGGGGTCCTGGACCTGAGTGCAAGAATTGTCTCCCAACAACCCCAGCTGTGCAGGGAGCAGCATTCGTCCTGCGGGCAGTCCTGCTGTGGCCCTGAGGGAGCCCATCAGGCCCGGGACAGGCTCCCTCAGGGCTGCCTCAGCCCCTGTCCTGCTGCGTCCCAGGCCTGACGGGCTCCCTCAGGGCTGCCTCTGCCCCCGTCCTGCTGTGTCCCGGGCCTGATGGGCTCCCTCAGGGCTGCCTCAGTCCCCGTCCTGCTGTGTCCCAGGCCTGACAGGCTCCCTCAGGGCTGCCTCAGCCCCTGTCCTGCTGTGTCCCAGGCTTGATGGGCTCCCTCAGGGCCACCTGATGGGGCACAGGCAGTGTCTGTATTGGGCTGGGCACTCCACCCCCTTACGTTGCTCCGCTCACCACCACCCTGCAGAAGAGAGATGTCTGCTCAGGTCATAGCTGTAATGGTCAAGCTCAGTCCACCAGGTCTGGCTGCCTCCAAAGCTAGACTTTCCTTCTGTACAGTGCTGGCATCACTGCTGGGCTGCCTGGGCCCCCAGCAGGGGGATGAGCTGTGGACAGCAGCATTTCCTGGCATCCACCCACAGTGCCTACCACAGCCCCACCAGTGTTCCATGGCAGATGCCAGCAGGAAGGTCCAACCTCCGGATGCCCTGCACCAATCACAGAGTGATACCTCCCCTCCCCCCCAGGAAAGCTAGGCAGCTGTGGAGGTGTAATGGTGACCCGGGGCCAAGAGGCACTGGCAGCCGAGGCATCAAGCTGCTGTCACAATAATGGGCTGGTTTCCCCCACGGTGCTGGCTGGGCCATGCTGCCTTGGGCCTTGGGCCCCAGCCAGACGGCAGTTCGTCCTCCAGCCCCGGGAAGGTAGAACTCCAGCCTCTGGCCCATGGGTCCTCCCCTTGCAGCTGCGGGATGAAGCTGAACCTGGACTACTTGCTGGAGATGCTTTGGGAGTACTTGGCCCTGACCTGCATCTACACCAAGAAGAGAGGACGTGAGTCGGGAGGTGCAAGGCCGCGCTCTGCACATACCACTCGAGGACCCCTGGCCCAGCCCACTTGGCACCCTGCCCAGACCCGAGTGCTGCTCCCACCCCAGGCTGGGAGAGACCTCTGCCCAAGTCTTTGTGGGCTGCTGGTCTTCAGGGTGCCTGGGGTGAGGGCACAGAGGGCAGTTGATAGAGGCCTGTTCTGAGTTCCCTGCGAGTACAACAGTAACACCCTTGTGGGGCCTCCCCCCCATCGCCCACCCCAGCAAGTCCCAAGTCAGAAGCATTAGGCAGCTGAGGCCAGAGGAACTTGGCTTGCCTCAGCGTTCACCTTCCCACAGCTTTTAGTGCTCTTGGAGCTGGAGCGTTCCCACACGCCTCTGCACACACGCCCACGTACCCAGGTGGTCCATGTACCTGGGGCACCACATACCCGGGGTGGGGGGGCACGTACTCGGGGGGCCCACATACCTAGGGGCCCGGTGGTGAATGTGAGCAGTCTGCATCAGCCCTGACCTTGCTGCAGGCGGGAGGGTGGACTCCCCCATTGGAGAAGCCGCTGCGGCGGTGATACAGGTGCACTGCCGCATGGCCATCTCATTGGCACTGTTGTGGTTGCTGGACCGCCAGCAGCTTGAGTCCTGGGTTTGGTTCATTCAATTTTCCACGCTGAGGTCAAGGTTGTGCAGAAGCTGGCACAGGGGTCTATACCAAGGGTGTCCTGAATAGCGGCAGGGTTGGGGGGGTATTTTGTCGAGGCCTGGGAGACCTGTGGGGACCAGAGGGACCTCTGCACCTGAGTGACCTTTTACAAAGCTGCCCAGGAGCCATGACCACACAGTTGACTCTCCTCTCATCTCTCCAACTGTACAGAGAGACCAGACTTCACAGACGCCATCATCCTCCGGAAAGGGGCTTCCGTGGAGCACGTGGTGAGTGAGGGTGCTCCCTCTGGGCCTCTCGGGACTCTGTCTGCCTGCGCCTGTCCGTCTGGGGCCTCAACAGGGGGTAGGGCACTCCCTCCAACCCTCTCGGGGGCTCTGTCTGCCGTGGCTCTCTGGCTGAGGCTTGGCCTCATCTTGGTTGGCCCTGGGATGGAACCCACTATGGTGGCAAAGTGGCCAAGGGCCAGCTTTGGAGCTGGACAGGCCTGACTGCATGTCTGAGTCCCCATTTCCTCTCCTGTAAACGGGGATAATGCTGCCAGCTTCAGCGGGTAGTTAGGATTGCATTTGAATGAGAGAAAGCATGGAAAGTTCTCAGCTGGAGTGGAGTGTCAAGGACAGCAGGCGCTGGAGCCAGGTGGGAGAAGAGGGTGGTGGGTTGCATAGAGGGCTTTCAAGGCCTTGCTCTGGAGCCCGGACTTTGTCCCAGAGAAACCTGTTCCTTCAGTGGTCACCTCCCAACAGGTACCTCCCTCCCATGGCACCAACTGTCCTGGGTACCCAGGAGTACAAGTAAAAATCCTGCCCTGCCTCAGGTACTTTATTTCAGCATGGGTGCTGGCAACAGAGACCCAAAGCAGATGATCCAGGTAGACATTGGAGGCAGGCAGACGTGGGGTCAGACCCAAGCTCGTCCATTCTAACTGCTTCATGTCCCTCGTCCGGGAGACTGATTTCCCAGGGCTGTGGTGATGCACCCAGCCTAGTGCCTGGTAGGTTGTTGGTGACCTCCCTATGAAAGCGTTGTGAATGTAAGACCTGGGTGGCGGAGAGGGTGCTGCAGGGCTCCGCAAAAATGAGAGCTTTCGAGGACTCCAAGGAAGGGGTGTCCTCCAGTCCCCAGAGAAGTATGCTCTGTCTTGTTCTTGAAAAATACAGCCTTCTTGGATGACCTTCTGTTTGCCCCTTACTTCTGGAAATGTGAATGCTGAGAAATAATTCTCTCACGAGAAGAACAGTAGAGCAGGTTCAGTGGTAAATGGCTCCTACTGATAACGTTTGGCCTTAGTGTCAGACACTAGGGCATGGTGGGGACTGTGGCAAACTGGAGAAAACACACAGAGCCTCCTCCCTTCCTCCCTACCCCCTGCCTCAAAGGAGCACCAGCTCCGTGCTCCAAAGCTGACAGGGTTTCTAGAAAAGCTGGGAATCCCTGTGACTATGTGACCTCTTGCTCTTTAAACATTGGCAGTGAGTTTAATTTTTTTTTAATGTTGGGCAAACTGAATAGAACCTTAAACCCAGTTGCAGGCTAGAGCTGACGTCTGGGCCATCAGTTTTCATTCTGTGATGTAGGAGAGATGAGTGCTAGACTTGAACTTGTGGGTATCTGTACTGGTTCCTGGCAGCAGCACCCTCTTCTCAGGGCCAGGCATCCTTGGTCACCTGGAGGAGACCGGTCAGGTTGGCTTCCCATGTGTGTTCAGGATGTTTTCTTTCGTCCTGTGCTTGTTTCCTTCCCTGTGGAGGCTGGACTGAGGTGTTGCTCTCTGGCTCAGAGGGCGTGTTCTGCCCAGGGCCTGTAAGACCTGTGAGTACATGATAGAGAAGCCAGGCCAAACAGTCCACCCCACCCCCAGCTGCTCCCGCCCATCACCTTGACAACCAGGGGTCCACATTGGGGAAGAGTTGGCTGCCCTTCCAAGGTCTCCTCTGGTATTCCTGGACCTTCATCCCTACTTAGGGTGCCAGCTGCCTTGGGGGCAGGGGCGGGAAGATGGGTGATGAAGTGCAGGAGGCACCAGGTCACAACTGCAGCCAGGGCTGAGAGATGTGAGCAAGCAGAGGTAGGGTGTCCTGAAAAGCCACCCTTGACCATTAAAGGACATCTTGAGGGTTGTTTAGGGGGAGGGTGGGCAGAGGGCCATTCGTAGCCAGGACCCTGACTGCCCTCTCATGGGCTGTAGAACATTCCTAAGTGGGTATTACAGCTCCCAGAAAGACCTGGAAACAGGGCTGTTAGAACCACCACAGCCATGAGTGAGGCTGTGGGTGAGTCCAGCAAGTGGCACCCCCTGACCCGGGGCCAGGGTCTGGCCACCCTTCACTCAGCAAGTGCTGTTTGAGCCCCTGCCTTGTGAAGCAATACTTGTTGGCATGTTGCCCAGGGCTTCAGGCCTATAGCAAGGTTGGGCGGGGGCTGGGCAGAGCTGCACCTCCTGTCTAACTCTCCCATCCACCAGTGCCATCGGATCCACCGGTCGCTGGCCAGCCAGTTCAAATACGCCCTGGTGTGGGTGAGTCTTGAGGTGGGGAGGTGAGGGGGAGTCAGACCCAACACAGGTCCTTGGGTCATGCAGGGAGCGAGGGGGGATTATATCTGACACGGGTCCCTGGGTCATGCAGGGAGCGAGGGGGGATTATATCTGACACGGGTCCCTGGGTCATGCAGGGAGCGAGGGGGGATTATATCTGACACCAGTCCCTGGGTCATGCAGGGAGTGAGGGGGGATTATACCTCACACGGGTCCCTGGATCATGCAGGGAGTGAGGGGGGATTATACCTCACACTGGTCCCTGGGTCATGCAGGGAGCGAGGGGGGATTATACCTCACACGGGTCCCTGGGTCATGCAGGGAGTGAGGGGGGATTATATCTGACATGGGTGCCTGGGTCATGCAGAGAGTGAGGGGGGATTATATCTGACATGGGTCCCTGGGTCATGCAGGGAGTGAGGGGGGATTATATCTGCAACAGGTCCCTGGGTTATGCAGGGAGTGAGGTGGGCAAGTGTTATACCTGACACATGCCCCAGTATGTCTGCCCTCTTCCACAACATGTGTATGCTGGCCTTGCAGGCTGGGCACCACCCCCCCCAGCTTTGAGACTGGAGTGGCCAGCTGCTTGGGACCTGTGGGGTTCCCAGTTCTGGGCCCTCCCCTGTACACACCCCTGCCCTCCTCCAGTGATACTTACCCCTCAGTGAGGTCTATCCATCTCACAGTGGCTTGGCCTCTGTGAGTGGCTAAGGCTCATGGGGCATCTCTGCCTGGGGCTCCTCCCCTCATGAGCTCCTTCTGCTCCCCCTACAGGGTACCAGCACCAAGTACAGCCCACAGCGGGTGGGACTGACCCACACCATGGAGCACGAGGACGTCATCCAGATCGTCAAGAAGTAGGGGCGCTGGCATCTTCCCACATCTCCCTAGGGAGTCAAACCACAGGGACACACCGGAGCCCAAACAGGAAATACAAATACACACACACCAGGAAGGGGTCCCTTGAGTCTCTGCTGTTTCCAGAAGTTTCTTCAGTAGGCAACTGATGATGTTGGGGCAGAGAGAAGACAGTGGGGGGCCTTGGATTTAGCTGGGGCTTTCCCTGAGACTGACCCTTGGATGTGGTTCTGAGTTGGAGCCCTGGGCCTGCCCCTTAGGGCACTGAGGGAGCAAGTTGCCCACCTGCCATAAGTCAGGGCCTAATGCAGATGCTCAGGACAGGGAGCTGGGCGTTCTGGGTCCCTGGAGTTGGGCTACTGTCAGGGCACCTCGTTCCTCAGTTCCTGCCAGCTTCTCTGGCATTAGGGTATGGGGTTCCCTAGGACCAGACCCCCTTGTATCCCCCACCTCCACAGGGCTGTCCCATGGTAGAAACCAGGGTAGGTCAGTGGCTTTGAAGGTCGAGTTCATACCCTCCCAGGCTGAGAGGTGTCCTGAAATGCCTCCCCTCTGAGCTCCCCCAGGGCAACCCCCACCCAGCACAAAGTCCGTGGACCTGGCCCTGCACACTGGGGCTGGGTTGTCGAGGTTCTGTGTTTGCATCTAAGCCCCCGATTTCTTAGCTTCTTCCTGAAATAAAGAATGATTCTGTTTATACTGAGGAAAAAGCTGGTACTTTTGCAGATTTGGTGATCTTTGTTGCCGAGTTGGGGCAGGGGGCAAAGGGCACAGTGATGAGCTAGGGGATCAAAGTAGGTGTGGTCTGGGCCCATGGGGCAGCAGAACCAAGCCTAGGGTGACAGGAGAATGTGAGGGATATTCCCCTGGGGGACTGGTTTCAAAAAAGGGCCAAAGACTAGGCCCAGGCATACAGTGGGCTCTGCCCAGGAAGGCCAGCACCTCCAGAAGACTTTTGTAACTGGCGTAGCAGGGAGGCCCCCTGCAAGAGCCAGGTGGCCAGATACATTTCCTGCGCTTCCCAAGGGTGGGGGCCTGGCATGGTGCCGGCCCAGCCTGATGCCTATTGAGCCCTGCTGCAGGCCAGTGGCCACCTCCCCAGCTTATAGCTCAGAGCTAGGATTTAGACCATGGTCTGTGAGACCTCTGAGTGGCAGGGCAGGCTTCCCGGAGGAAGTGATCCTTTTGGGGGGCCAATGGTAATGGGTTTTTGAGGCTGCCAGGCATCGGGCATCAGGAGTGATACCTCCTCAGGGTCCTCGGGCCAGACCTGGAGTGTGGAACAGGCCCGGCTATAACCAGCTCCCCAGTCAGCTGTTCAGGCTCCTTTCTGGAGACAGAACAGGAATAATAGACATCATTAAATATACATGGGGCCCCAGGTGGTTGGTGTGGTGGGCTGGGCCTTTCTTCCTTGCAAAACTGAGCCGCTCTGCTGGACTGATGTGCTCTTGGGGCTAGTCCACAGGCCCTCCATTAGCGGCATGCAGGTAGGGAGCAAGCCACGGGAGCCAGGTAAGGGCAGCCTGGCCCTGGGCCCTTGGAGTCTTCACCAGCCTGCCTAGGTTGCAGGGGAGGAGTGGAAAGGGGAAGGTGGCAGAGCTGGGGCCCTCCTAACTCACTGTGAGACCTCTGGGCCTCAGTTTCTTCATCTGTAAAATGGCCATTAAGCCCATGCAGTCCACTTCTTGAGGACAGGGATGTCAAGACAGGTTAAGTGCTCAGTGGCTTACCTCAGCCCCTCTCCTGCCCCATCAAGCCTGGCTGGGGGAGGTCCCTAAGTGAGGGTTTCTTTCCCAGGACCAGGGACTGTCACTCCCACTTCTTGCCTTACAGGTATGGCCTTGGGACCCAGGTGTCAGTTTAGTCCAGGCCTCAGACTAGCTGGCTGGGAGACAGAGAGGAGGTCTAGTGCAGGGCATCCAGCATCCGAGGCTCTGGCCACATGAGCCTCTTGCCTGGGCTGGGTTTGTGTGTCCATGTGTGCATCCGTGTGTGTCCTTGCATTTCTGGATCTGTGGTCAGCATGCGAGAGGATGCGAGGTCCTGCCCAGGTCCTGTGAGGTCAAGGTGCAGAAGGAAGAGGGCTGGAGAAGGTGGAGCCTCAGGGGTGGGGAAGTCCCCGAAGGGGGGCCAGGCCCCACCCCTCCAGGCTAAAGTCAGGCTTAGGCTGTGCCCCACTGGCTCTCTGGTCACTCACCCTCACTGGGCCTCCAGCTCCCTCTGCGGGGTGGTTCTCGCCTGGGTGACACAAAGTCCAGCAACACCCTGTTCTCAGGACTCCCCAGGATGCAGGGCTGCGCTGAGCCTGGGGTGCAGACTACCCCTCAGCCTCCCCCTCCCACATGCCCCTAGACACAGCCCTACCAGCGGGAGGCCTTGATGGACTTAAAGGGCCAAGGAGCCAGGGGGTGACCATCTGTCCCTGCATTCATTCATTCCTTCTTCACAGTCTCTTCCTCTCCAGCTTACAGTCCACAGTCCCTCATCTCAGAAAACTTTCCAGGAACCCTAAACTCATTTGTCCTCCGAAACAAGCCATTGGGCCCAGCCCCACATCCTGCTCCTGAGCTAGCACTGCTGAGGAACACACTCAGCCCCTCAGCAGTTCTTCCCACCCGCCTTGCCCCTCAAATCCCACACTCCCCACACCCCCTCACCCCATCACAGCAGAGGCCCAGCTAGGAAACTTCTCCAAACACCCCACCTCTACTTCACCTGCTTCTTCCTCCATGATGGAGGATGCCATGGCCTAGTACCTCCTGGGGGCTGGGATCTTTATACCACAGGAGAGTCCACTGAGCTCTCTGCTGCTCCCTTTCTCTCCTGAGTATCCTGTCTACTTGCCAACTCAAGGCTCTCCCACTAAAAAAACTAAAAGCCCCTGACCATCTCTGGCCACCTCCCTCCCCTTCATGGCTTAGCTCCCCATGTCCACTTTCTCTGAGTCTACCTCACCTTCCCTCACCCATCAACTCCAACAGGCCACCCAACACTCCTGCCACCCTCTGCTGTGTTGCTAACCCAGTGACCAGCCATCTCTCACCCACATTTATTTGGCCTTAGCCAGCTCCACACAGCAAGCCTCGACTCCTGAAACGCTGCCCTCACCTCCGGCCTCTTCTCTGTCTCCTTCCCACACAGGCTTAAAAGCAGGGCCCCTCAGACCTTGGTCCGTGGTCACCCATGGCCCAGCCTCCCTCTTGGCCCAGCCTCCCTCTTACCACCTGCTGATGGCTCACAGCCATCTCTCTGGTCCAGCCGCTCCCCGAAGTCCCAGACCTGAGGGTCTGCACCAAGAGAGCTTCGCGAGACTACTTTCTGATAAGTGATGTCATGGGCACTGTGGAGTCTCAGCTTCCTCGTTTGTAAAATGGGAGTGATAGTGGTACCTTCTTCCCAAGGCTGTAGTGAGGCTGGATAGTACACTGTGGCCTGGCAGTTGTGAACACAGGCCCCACAGTCAAGAACGGGGTCTGTCATGCCCTCGCCATGGGGTCTCGAGTTTGTGACCCAACCTTTCCAAGACAGAGCCCTTACCTGTAAGATGGAGATAACCGTCCCTGTCTTAGGTATTTGAGAATCCAGAGAGATGGCACAGGGGACCATGTGTCACCAAGCCAGGCACAGAGTGAACACTTGGCAGTCTTGGTTAGTTTATTTTCAAAGCGCAAATATGGTCACAGAACTTCTGCCTGCTTCAGACCTTGCAGTGGCTCCCCACTTCTTTAGGGACCAAACTCCCATCACCACCTCCATGGACCAGTCCCCTGCCAGCCAGCCTGGCCGCTGCCCACTCACGTGCCCTCACCACCCTACTCTGGCCATACAACTTCCCTTTTAGCCCTCTCACCACTTGACCAATGCATATGCTGCTAGGAGCACTGTTCCCATTTCCATTTGATGAATGCCCTCCCCTCTTCCAGGTCTTCCTCATCCATCGAGTAAACCTTCCTGGGTGGCCTGGGGTGGCACCCTTGCCTTTGCAGCCCCTCACAGCAGTTTTCCCACTTCTCCCCTGTGACATTGGGAGTGGGTCTGTTGCTCACCCCTACTGCCTAGCATAGTGCCTGGCACACAGCACACAACAAATACTTGAGGAATGAACAAAAGAGACTTGTTCCCAGGCCACTCTGTGCCCGCTGCAGAGGCTGGGGACCCTGAGTGGAAGGCAGGACCCTGAACCAGCCTGAGAAGGGGTGGCCTGGATGACCACTGGGGGCCACCGTCCCCAAGGCCTGGGCCCCAGAGTCCAGGAGCAGTCATGTGGCAGGCCCTTGCGGCCAGAGGCTGCCCTACATCACCTTACCAGAGCAGACAGGACCGGGGCTGTGATAACACTGCTGGCAGTAATAATAACAGAAGGCCTACCAGGCCAGCACTGTGCTGCTGCTCCATCTCACTCATCCTCACATCCACCGGCACACAGAAAGGCTATGTGCCCTGCCTTGGGACCAATCCAAAGCTGGGTGCAATCCCTGGGCTCCGGTCCTGCGTCTGGGCATTAGGGCAGAAAGATGTGCCCAAGGAGAAGCTGCAGGCCCCCATGGCCAGCAGACACTTTCCAATGGCAGACAAACCCCGGGGGCCAAGGACCCCCAACTTGGGGCAGGCAGGGGTGTGGCTGTGGGAGGCAGGCTTGAACCAGAAGGGCCTGCCCTGTCCCCTCCTTCCTGGAAGTCTCTGACTTTCCCTGGGCCTCAATTTCCTGAAACATCACCTGGAGCTGGGAGGGGTGGGGCTGGAACCTGCAGTCAGGCCCTGCCATTCTTTCTGGGGGCTCTTCTAAAGGGGTGTTTCCACTCACGGTCTCTAATTCCTTTCTTCCCATTCTCACTTTTTCTCTTTTAAAATGTTACTTTTGTTTGTTAGAATCAGCCCGGTTCTCCCCAGTGCATTATTCATGGCTCCTGTGAGACAGCCAGCTCCAGTTACACTGACTGCAGCCCTGGGCACCCGCCCTGCCCACTCCCTGCCCCGCTGGCCCAGGACCTGGAGGGTCCAGGGTTCCCCTCCAAGGCCACTTGGCAGGCTTTGAGCATCCAGCCTGGGGCTCAGAAGCCCCAGGGTCCATTTCCAGCCCGGGTCAGACAGGCTAGGTGGCTTAGGGCAGGTGACTTCCCCTCTCTGGATCCCAGCATCTTACTCTGTGAAAGGGTGATGATAAAAGCTCTAACTTGAGTGTATTTGAGCCAGTTCATGGGCATAAAGAGCTTGACACATAGGAGGGCTTCATAAATGTCAGCTACAGCTGCTGTCATGATGACCCTAAGGCCAGATGCCTCCCCCAGGACAGGCCCCAGCCATGTTTCCCTGTTCCTGGTAAACAACACTGCCACACTTTCCACCACTGCTTGAAGGTGAAACTCAAGTCCACATTGGGAGGAGATGAATTATGGATTCGCCCCTAGAAATCCTGGCCCCAGCCAAGCTGCCCGTGCCTCCGTGCCAGCCCCGGCTGCTCCGTGCTGGAGGCGGCCAGTCCCAGCTGCTCTGTATTGGAGGAGGCCTCCTGTCCAGCCCTGGGCAGGAGACTGAGAGGACCCTGTGTCTCCAAGCCCCTAAGCCTGAGACCCCAGCCCTAGGCCCACGGGGAGCAGGCAGTTACCATGGCAAAAGAGGAAGATGATGAGAAGAAAGCCAAGAAAGGGAAGAAGGGAAAGAAGGCTCCGGAGCCCGAGAAGCCGAAACGGAGCTTAAAGGGGACGTCACGACTGTTCATGGGCTTCCGTGACCGCACGCCCAAGATCTCCAAGAAGGGCCAGTTTCGGAGCGCGTCGGCCTTCTTCTGGGGCCTCCATACCGGCCCCCAGAAGACCAAACGCAAGAAGAAGGCGCGGACCGTGCTCAAGTCAACGTCGAAGCTCATGACGCAGATGCGGATGGGCAAGAAAAAACGCGCCATGAAGGGCAAAAAGCCGTCCTTCATGGTGATCCGCTTTCCCGGCCGCCGCGGCTACGGCAGGCTGCGGCCGCGTGCCCAGTCCCTCAGCAAGGCCTCCACAGCCATCAACTGGCTCACCAAGAAGTTCCTAATCAAGAAGGCTGAGGAATCGGGCAGCAAGCAGGCCACGCTGGATGCCTGGCTCAACCGCTCAGATTCGCGGGGCTCGCACAAGCTGCCCTTTCCGTCTGGCGCCGAGATCCTGCGCCACGGGGGTCGCCTGCGCCGCTTCCCGCGCAGCCGCAGCATCTACGAGTCCGGCGAGCCTGTGGGCTTCCTGCCCTTTGAGGACAAGGCCTCGTTCAGACCCTCTGGCTCGCGCAGATCGCTGTACGGGCTCGAGGGCTTCCAGGACCTGGGCGAGTACTACGACTACTACTGCGAGGGTGACGACTACTACGACCAGCAGTCGCTCTACCAGTACGAGGAGCAGCAGGAGCCCTACCTGGCCGGCTACGGCCTCTACAACCCAGCTTGGCCCCCCTACAGCAGTGACCCCTACTATGGGTACCCACCAGAGGACCCCTATGACTACTACCGTGCTGACTATTACAGGGACTCCTTCCACCCACCGTACTCCTATGGCTACAGCTATGGCTACGACGACTACGAGCCCCCCTATGCACCCCCAGCAGGGTATGCGTCCCCCTGGGGGTACCCATCTCCCTACAGCTGCTATGATGGGTACGAGGGTGAGGCTTACCCATACAGCCACTACCTGGACCCCTACGCACCTTACGACATGCCCTACCCACCCTATGACCTTCCTTACGAGATACCCTACTTCGATCACTATGGGATCCCCTACAGCATCCCCTACAGCGTTCCCTATGCGGAAGGCATCTACGGTGGCCGGGCCGAGGCCATCTACCCCCCCGAGGCGCCCTACCTCTACCCGGAGGAGTCGGCCTTCACGTACCCGTGGGTCCCACCACCCATACCATCGCCCCACAACCCATACGCGCACCCCATGGACGACATCGCAGAGCTGGAGGAGCCCGAGGAGGCAGGTGGAGAGCGGCAGGGCACCTCCTTCCGCCTGCCCAGTGCCGCCTTCTTCGAGCAGCAAGGCATGGACAAGCCCGCTAGGTCCAAGCTGTCCCTCATCCGCAAGTTCCGCCTCTTCCCGCGGCCCCAGGTGAAGCTGTTTGGGAAGGAGAAGCTGGAGGTGCCCCTCCCGCCCTCCCTGGACATCCCACTGCCCTTGGGGGAGGCCGACGAAGAAGAGGACGAGGAGGAGATGCCCCCAGTTCCCTACGGCCACCCCTTCTGGGGCTTCTTCACGCCGCGCCAGCGCAACCTGCAGCGTGCCCTGTCGGCCTTCAGGGCTCGCCGCGACCTGGGCTTCGGGCCCGAGTTTCGCCGTCTCCCGGCCCGGCCGGCCACCTCGCTGGCCCGCTTTCTCAAGAAGACGCTGTCCGAGAAGAAGCCTATCCCGAGGCTCTGCGGCAGCCAGAAAGCAGGGACGGGGGCGCCAGCCATCCGAGAGGCGGCCTACAAGCGCTTCGGGTACAAGTTGGCGGGCATGGACCCGCAGCGCCCGACCACGCCCATCGCGCTGCGGCGCGTGCAGCCGCGTGCGCGCAACAACAACAAGTCGCGCCCTCCGCCCGCGCCAGGCCGCACGCCCGCGCCCCTAGGCCGGCTGCGACCTGCGTCTCCCCCTGGCTCCCTGCGCAGACACCCGCCCCCTTGGGCTGCCCCGACGCACGTGCCACTTGGGCCGCAGGCGAGCTGGTGGAGCTGTGTGGAGCCCCCGCCGGTGCGGCTTGAGGGCTCTGTGGACGCGCTGGCCTTCCCCGGGCCCCGGACCTCGCTCAGGGGGTCCCGCAGGCAAGGCCAGGCCTTAGGCTTCACAGGCCGCTCGCCGGAGACCACGTGCCGGCTGGGCTGGCCGCCGCAGCCCTCCCCAAGAAGCCTACCTGGCCCCGGCCACCGCTCGCCCAGGGGGCCCCTCTCCCCACAGCCCTCCATCCGCTTGGGCCCCTGCCGGCCGCCCTTCTCGCCCCCTCCCCGCCGGCCCCGCTCGCTTCAGGAGCCACTAACCCGGCGCCGCAGCTCCAGGCGCCGGGGCGAGCCCCGGCCACCCTCTCAAGCTGTCAGCCAGAGGCTGCCTGCGTCCCCGCCTCTGCTGGGCCCCAGCCTCGGGCGCCGCTCCCTAAACGTTCCCTCGCGCCTCCCGCACACCTGGAAACGGCTCAGTGAGCCACCTACTAGGGCCGTGAAGCCCCAGGTGCACCCACCCTTCCACGGGCCGCCGGGCTCGGGGTCCTGGCCGGTGAGCCGGGCTGCCCCTGAGCGCCAGGAGCCACAAGAAGACGCAGAGACACTCTGGACGGTGCCACCACTGGCCGCCAGCTGGGATGTGGACATGCTTCCCACCCAGCGTCCACCCTCCCCATGGCCGGGAGGCATGAGCAGCCCCAGGGATTTATCCAGGCCACGCCTTATGCCAGAAAACCCCTTCCTGGAGCATGTTGGCCCTGTGCCGTCCCCTACACCCCAGCCTGAGGACCCAGCCTTGGACCCAACCGGTGTCTTCTTGGGCAGACACTGTGAACCAGGTCCTGGAGAGCTCGCCAGATCTGCAGGCCTGAGCCTTGAGAAGCCAGAAGCTGTGCTGGTGGACCCCCAGACACCAGCAGAGCCTGAGCCTCCAACCGTGACAACGTCCAAGGATCTCACCCCAGAGGAAAAGGCACTAAGGCCCAGCCTATCCCACCCACTGGCCGCGTGTGACCAGATAAGGGCCATGTGGCCACCGTGGCACCATTGGATGACAATGCTCAGAGCCCCGGCTCCCTTGGCACCCACTGGGGCCCCTGAGCTCCTGCCTGAGGGAGGCAAGCAGTGCCAGGCCGGGCCTGGGCATTGTGCAGTGGTCATGCCTCGAGCGCAAAAGCTGAGTTCCTTCCAGCAAGTGGGTCCTGCCACCGTGCAGCCCCCAGTCCAGCCAGCCCAGGACCCGCAGCCCAGCCCAGAGCCTCGAGCCTGGAGTCTGCGCTGGGCCCACCTCTGGCAGCCAACAGAGGCCCACCGACCCTGGCCACGAGTGCACACTTACCCTCCGTCCTGCCACTTGGGCCCTGAAGCTGCCTGCTTGCCCCACAGGGGCCCCTGGAAAGAGGTTGGCCCCCAAAGTTGGCGAAATAAGGTATGGAGCACAGAGGGAGGGCATGAGGGACCCTACCTGGGAAACAGCACGGAACAGCCCCAGGAGCCCCTGTATGTCCTTGGTGAGCTGCTTCCTGCTTGGGCCTCAGTCTGCCTGTCTGTAACTCTGGGAGAACAGCCTTGGCATCCCTGAGCCACAGGAGGTGTGAGCAGGGGTGCGGAAACTCCTCTCAGACCCACTTTGGGAAGGGATCTTGTCTGTAGCCCCAACCTGGGGTCTGGACAGCTACAGAGTGTTCCTGTTCCTGCAGCCCTGTGCTGGTCAGTTGCCTCTCAGAGATGGTGGCCTAGGGCAGAGCCCACCTCCACATCCCATGTCCACAGTGTTCCTCTGGCCTTCTACTGATTCTCCTCTAAACTGGAGTTTTCTTCCTCTCCTCAGGGTTTCTGCTTAAGGATAGTAGCATGTTTCCCTTGCCAGCCCCTGGGGCTGCAGGGCTCTGGCATATCCAAGGGTGAGAGGCTTATTGTGGAGTGGGGAAGCAAAGCCCAAAAGGTCCATTTCTTGGCCAAGGTCACACAGTTAAATCAGGGGCTCAGCCAGAGCCTATCTGAGCTGCAGAGCAAGGCAGCAGGTCTGAGGGGTGCCTAGCTGAGCCTGGCTGCCATGCTCATGGCGGAACGCAAGCCTAGCACTGAGTGGCCCTCGAAAGAGGGGGGTAGTCACCGGAGCCTCCCCTGGGACATGGGGTAGGCGGGGCAAGCAGGGGCAGCAGGTGCCTCAGCCTCTGCAGACAGTGCCTAGAGGAGCGGGCAGCTGGCTTGGCCCAGCAATGGCGACCGGGGCGGCTTGGCTGTTGGGGGGGCCCAGGCCCCAGCGGCGGGTACCCCGTGCCGTGTGGGCCGCAGCATTGCGGGAGCGGGGCACAGGGCGCCCAGGGGTGAGGGGCAAGGATGCCTGGGCCCTCCTCACTTTGGAATACGTGAGTGGCTGAATTATTTAGGGTCTGAGTGCTGGCGAGCACATAGCAGATGGGTGGGTGGGAGGCCAGGTCCTCCAGCGTGATACTCTCTAAGATGGCCTACTTAGCAGCCCGGCGACAGGTACAGCTGCCCGCAGGGGCTCACTCCTGATGTCCCCTTTTCTTGCTTTCTCAGGGAGGGGTGGGGACTGGGATCTGGAAGGCTGGGAAGGCTGAGGGCACCACGCTTGTGCTCATAGTCACACAGATCACACACAGGTCTGCATGTCAAGTGAGGAAAGCGCGCACGCGTGTGTACCAAGGCTTGAGCAGACATGGCACATGTGGGGTTAGGATTGTTTGTCCACTGTTGCCATGTATGCACGCACGTGTGTCACATAGATGGGCACAGAGGAAATTCTGCAGCCCAAAGGTAGCATTGGACTTCTATTCTCGAGACCCACAGGTGGGGGGAGGCTTGCTGGCAGCCCCAGCGTAGGCTTTGTAGCACCAGCTATATGTGGACCCACGTGTGTGCTTGCCAGTGGCCTGTCTCCAGCCAGGCACCATGGACATCTTCTGAGCCCGTGGATGTACGTGGGAACTGTATGAATTGCCAGTGCCTTTCTATGGAGGTCCATTGCGTACATCTTCGTGTTTACCCTGGGCTGGCGCAGGGGTGCCATAATGGATGAGACAGTCTTGGCCCCCAGGGGTCCCCATGAGTCAGGACACAGACGTTCTTTAAGTTGTCACACAAGCAGACGTATTGGACGTGTAGGGGCAGCTGGGAAGAAGGTTGTCAGAGCTGTGAGAACAACAGGCCTGAGGTTGGGGGGGGGGCATCCTTGGAGGGCAGGGGCTTGAAGGTAGGCTTCTAGAACAGTCAGGAAGACAGTGCTTGCGTGGGCATGTGCTCACACCTCACACATCTGGATATCGGTGAACACGTGTGCGTTCCAGGGTGGGGAGACATGCATGCAGACTCTGTGGACCCACTCAGCTTGGCTTTGGGGTTCCCTCCTTGGCAATGGGAGCAGGTCCCCAGCGTGTTCAAGCCAGTGGGGGCCACCCCAGGATCCAGCTCCCACTAGGCCAACCCACAGCGTTTCTTGCAGATGCATTCCATCTGCAGCATGCCGTTCCTGCGGTCCTATGAACAGCGAGGGGAGGATGGTGTGGAGGACATGACGCAGCTGGAGTGAGTTGGGGGGTGCTGGAGTGGGGGTCACCACAGGGGTCAGTACACTCCCAGCCGTAGAGCCTCCTCAATACCAGGGATACCTTTCACCTCCCAGAACATTTTCAGAGCCTCAGCTTCCCCATCTGCAAAATGGGTTGTCATGAAGTGTCACGAAGACCAAATATGTGAACATCAAAGCTCACTGGGCCAGACAGGCCTGGGTTCAAATTCTAACCCCACCACTTACCAGCTGGGTGACCTTGGGCAAATCACTTAGGCTCTCTGTGCCTTAGTTTCCTCATCCATAAAATGGGAGTGATGATAGTCCCTTCTTTTCACTGTTGTTGCGAGGGTGCTAGTACATTGGTGATGCCCACAATGAGCACTGTGCTGGTCAAGATCATGATCCAGTTATGATGACTCAGCCCACGCATCTGTCATCTAGCAGTAGTGTTCCCATAGCCCCAGTGCAGTAGGTGCAGTTATTATCATTCCCACTCGACGGATGAAGAAACTGAGGCACAGAGAGGTTAAGTAACTTGGCCAAGGTCTCATAGCTGGTTGATGTCAGGGACAGGACTTGAACTCAGGCCTGCCTGACCCAGAGCCCAAGCTCTTAGCCATGGCCTGGCACTGAAGGGGAAGACGGGCGTGTGCCAGCTTGGGCCCAGGCCCTGACTGCCCTTCTCTGCACCCTCCCAGGGACCTCCAGGAGGCCACCGTGCTGTCCAATATCAAGACCAGATTTGAACGGAACTACATCTATGTAAGTCCTGGAGTGGTCCTGCCTCCCTGCCTGCGGGACCTCCTGGGGGTGGCGGTGGATGCATAGGTTTCTCCTGCGGGGCCCCAGACCTGTGGTCTCTGGTTTGGACTTTGAGGTTTGTACCATTTGAGTACAGAATGCTAGTGCCTGCAGCTCGAAGCCCTAAGACATGGAATCTTAGAACTTTAGAGGGCAGAGGCAGGGACCTGGAGTCAGAGAACCCAGAAATACGCAATTTCCACTACAGGCTCTGTGGATACAGACTCCACCATCCTAGAATCCCTATACTTGGGTCCCAGAATAGGGAAGGCCGCCGGGGCAGAAGGAGTCACTGACCCCAAAATATAGAATGGAGAGCCAGGGGCATAGAACCCTGTGGGGAAGACAAGGATCCTGGATGACTGACTGTCCCCAGGATGCTCTGGGCTCCCCAACTCTGCCCCACTCCAGGGAATAGAGGGTTGACCTTAGAAGTCCCTGGATCCCAGGCCTGCCTTTGGGAGTAAAGGAAGTAGGCAGCAGCTGATGGGGCAATCAGTCTGGCTCCCTTTGCAGAATGGTAGCTGTGGGGCTTTACTCCTCTCAAATTCCTCCCAGCCTCAGCCTGGTACAGTGCCTGAAATTACAGTTAGCACACGTGATCCCAGTAAGCCGTTAGAGGGCCTTAGATGTGAACACTAAAGCGAGGCAACTAGAGCTCTATCTTGATAGAAGTGGGGTGGGGGTGCATAGAGGCCGGGAGGAGCATGGGCACTGAGGCCACCCATCCCCAGCAGACGTACATTGGCAGCATCCTGGTGGCAGTGAACCCATACCAGATGTTGGGGATCTATGGGCCAGAGCAGGTGCAGCAGTACAACGGGCGGGCTTTGGGAGAGAATCCACCGTGAGTATCCTGAGATACGGGGTGGGGGCTACCCTTGACTGTCCTGTGTCCTCCTCTCAGCTTGATAAGAGCATGGCTGCCCCTCACCACGGGTCAGGGCTGATGGTGGTGGGCAACCCACCTGCTTAGCCGGACAGGCCCTTCCCAGGCCTGGCCACGCCCTCGCTGGGCCTGAGACTCCTTCCCCCATGGCTTGAGGTCACAGTGGTGGGTGGGGATTATGTCCCTGAGGGGGTGAGGGGTGGAGCAGGATTGGACTCTGGGCTGGACAGAGATGCCCCCCTGGCCTCGCCCCAGGGAGGTGATGCCTAGCAGCCTGTCTTCCCAGACACCTCTTTGCAATTGCGAATCTTGCCTTCACCAAAATGCTCGATGCCAGACAGAACCAGTGCATAATCATCAGGTGAGCTGTGGGTCAGGTGAGGGGTGTGCCTATTCATGGGGATGAATGGGAGGACTTCAGGAACGTTCTGCAGCTAGCCAGACCTATGCTGTGGCCTTGGGAGGTCCCTCAGCATCTATGGGCTGGCATGTACCCATGTCCCACATCCCTCCCCAGCCCTAGCTCCAAGGCAGGGCTGGGGGGCCCAAAAGAGGCAGGGAACATGAGGAAGCCCACTCTGCTTCTCTGCCCGGGCAGTGGAGAAAGCGGCTCTGGCAAAACCGAGGCCACGAAGCTGATTCTGCGCTACCTGGCCGCCATGAACCAGAAGCGGGGCATCACGCAGCAGGTGGGTCTGTCTCCCCTGGACCCTTAGGCAAGTTCTCTTGTGGAGCATGCCTCGTGCTCACCAAGAGGCAAGGGTCCCTGGCCCCACTTTGAGGACAGAGACCTGGGCTCCAGAGGGGTTGGGGCCTGGCCAGGGGCTGCACAGAGAGGGACTTTTGGGCTCTGGGCTCTTTCTGATGCCCCTGCCCCACTGGGAAGCACCTAGGGGTGTAGTCCCCTCCTGTCTGTGTTCCTGGTGGCAGCTTTGTGTTCCAGGTTCAGAGTGGCACATGGCCAAGGGAATTGCTCTGTCTCTCCTGCCTAGTGTCTTCTTCCCAGTTATGAACCAGAGATGCCATATTCTCACACCCAGGGGTAGGACAGGTCTGCGTGTGAGGGGAGCAGACAAGGGAATGTCCCGGAGAGCAGCCAGGGAGGCGGTAGACACTGGGCAGGGCTCCCTGGGCACTGAGGAGGGTGGGCAGGTTCTGGGAAGGACTGGAGGTTTGCTAACAAAGTGAGTGCTAAATCCTCAAACCTGAGAATGTTAGGGCCTCAATAATTTACTGAGGCCTACTGTGTGCCAGGCCTGCACGCTATGTGCTAGGGAGGCAGACAGCAGCAACTAGACAGACAAATGTTTCAACCACGTAGAAATTTCTGTCTAGTGGGGAGACTGAAAGAAAACAAATATCTAAGTAAATTTTGTGTGTGTAAAGTATGATAAGTTGTGGAGAAAAACAGCAAGGAGGGGCGAGAGGGTGTTGAAGGCTGTCATTTTAAGCATGGTGGTTAGAGTGGGCCCCACAGAGACGCTGAAAAAGTGGCCTGAGGATGTTGAGGGGAGAGCAACCAGCTAGAGGACAGAGCAAGGGCAAAGTCCCCAGAGTGGGAGCTGGGCTGATGTGGCCAGCGTGGAATCCACATGAGAGGGTGATGGCTCAGACCAGGGAAGGGTGAGGAGTGTTGAATTCTCGGTGTTTGAGAGAACCCAAGGACACCCCAGATGCCGGCCCTGAGCTACTCGCAGAATGGAGCTGCATGGGCAGGGTTACAGGAGGAGCAGTTATGGGGAGAAGATGATGAGGTGACCTGGAGCGGTTAGCAGTCCCTGCAGAGCACAGATCAGGGGCTCAGGAGAAGTTGGGGCTGGAAGCAGACCCTCACCTGCTCAGACTGTACAACCACAGAGTCTCATACTCCCCAACATGGATATCCACTGAGGCTTTGACATGGCTACAGTGTCCCAGCCAATGGGGACCTTTGCAGGGGTGATCCTGGGGGCATCGGGGGATTGGCCCAGGAAACTGCCTGGCAGGCCCAGCTGGGCCCAGCCTTCTCAAATGTCTGCCTTGGCCTGCCAGCCTCTTCCATTTCAGCCCGGGCCTCCTGATGGTCAACCAGACCCTCCCTGTGTCTCCAGGTTGGACTTAAGGAAGGACTGGTGAGGTAGGCAGGGAAAGAGAGAATTGTGCAGCAAGTACCTCCCGGGGAATTGTGCAGCAAGTACCTCCCGGGTGCCAGGTGCTGCCAGTTGTGTTTTCATGCCAGATTCTCACAGCATCCTTGTGAGGGAGGTATATCTGGATTTATTTTATAGATGGGGAAATTGAGGCTTGGCAGGGGAGGTGACTTGCCCAATGTCCCAAGGTGAGTTAGTGATGGAGCTGGGATTTGAAGTTCATGGTCAGAGAGCTCATCTTGGCAAGGGTCCGGGAGGCTGGTCAGGGCTGTGGAAGTGGCTGGGTCTAGGGGAGTTTCTGTCCAGCACAGTCGGTGTGAGGACATGTCTACTAGCTGTGATGAGCGTGGGACTTGTTTTCCAGCTGCTACTTTGCCCCTCCTCATGTAATCTGACAGTCCAGAGCTAGATTCAGTTTTAGGAATGACTGGATCCAGGGTCTTAACCAACGTCCTTTGTCTTGGCTCTACCCTCCCCTGTATATGATCATCATCCTCAACCTACCTCCCATTGGTCAGCAACGTAGTGCCGTAGTAACACAGCTCACACCTCCCAACAGTCCAGAAGTCTCAAAGCTCTCTCTCATTTCTGATTTTGGCTATGTGACCTCACTCGAGCCAGTCATGTAGCAGGAGGTGTGCCCTGCCCTGGTTGGCTGATAACTGGGTCTGTCCCTTTGGGTGGGTATGTGGGGAGGATTTCCAGGAGAACGGCTGGATGCTGGGCTGCCCAGAGCACCTGGCACCATGGTGGGGCTGGATTGGAGGCCCTGAGGTGCCAGGTGTTTACCCCCTCAGGCCCATCGGGCCTTGCCCCCAGCCCTGGCTGTGTTTCCACCCTGTGCTGGGCACAAGAGGCAGCGCCCCCCCCCCCCCCCCGTGCCCTTGAGGGCTCCCAGATGAAAGAATATGTCTTAGTCATCTAGTGCAGCTATAACAGAAATACCACAAGTGGATGGCTTTAAGAAAGAGAAATTTATTCTCTCACAGTCTAAGAGGCTAGAAGTCTGAATTCCAGGTGCCAACTCCAGGGGAAGGCTTTCTGTCTCTGTCGGCTCTGGGGGAAGGTCCTTGTCATCAATCTTCCCCTAGTCTGGGAGCTTCTCAGTGCAGGGAGCCTGGGTCCAAAGAAAGCACTCTGCTCCCAGCACTTCTTTCTTGGTGGCATGAGGTCCCTCTCCTCTTTGCTCGATTCTGTCTTTTATATCTCAAAGAGATTTACTGAAGATACAACCTAATCCTGTAGATTGAGTCCCACCTCCTTAACATAACTGCCTCTAATCCTGCCTCATTAACATCATAGACGTAGAATTTACAACACATAGGATAATCACATCTGATTACAAAATGGTGGGCAACCACACAGTACTGGGAATCATGGCTTAGCCAAGTTCACACACATTTTGGGGGGACAAAATTCAATCCATAACAGGCTGGTACAGGGCAGACCTCAGGCAGACCCTGTCCCTTTCTGACACAGTATTACCTAGACAGATGAGACTATGGATGTGGCCCAATGGAGCTGGCATCATCCGTAAGATTACAGATATTATTTCTGTGGTGACAGGGCCTCCCGTGCTTCTTCCCTAAGAACACACGCTCAGGAAATGACTCAGCAAATGAAAATGCCGTGTGCACAAAGCTGCTTGTTGCGGTGCTAGGACCTCACCCTCATGGCTTCAGAGTCGGACTTGAGACCCGACGCATGTAGCTTCATCTCTCTAAGCCTTAATTTCCTCATCTGTAAAATAGGGGTAGTATTAGTACCTACCTTATAGGATTATTAAAAATGATGTAATTAGGGTAAACTGTCTGGTGCATGTTGTTGTTAATTTCTGAATCAGCGACCCCAGTAACAGAGTAGAACTGCCCCATAGGGTTTTCTTGACTGTAATCTTTACAAGGAAGCAAGCAGATAGCCAGTTCTTTCTCCTGCAGAGCCACTGGGTGGGTTTGAACCACAAACCTTTTGGTTAGCAGCAGAGCACTTAACCGTTGTGCCAGCAGGGGTCCTTGTCTGGTGCATAGTAGGTGTTAAAAAGAGCCCTGATGGTGAAGCGGGGAGCCCTGGTGGCGCAGCGGTTAAGAGCTTGGTTGCTAACCAAAAGGTCAGCAGTTCGAATCTACCAGCTGCTCCTTGGAAACTGTACGACACAGTTCTGCTCTGTCCTGTATAGTCGCTATGAGTTGGAATTGACTTAATGGCAACGGGTTTGGGTTTGGTTTATCATTAGCCATGGAGTCCCTGGGTGGTGCAAACAGTTAATGTGTTCGGCTGCTAACAGAAAGATTGGTGGTTGATGTCCACCCAGAGGCACCTTGGAAGAAAGGCTTGGCGATCTACTTCAGAAATATCAGCCACTGAAATCACCATGGACCACAGTTCTTCTGACACACATAGGGTTGCATGAGTCGGAAATGACTCGACAGCAACTGGTTATCATTTGCTATGGTCACCCCTGGGCAGTTCTGACTGTGAGATGCTATTCCTTTATTCATTCATTTAGCAGATTTTTTAAAAAAATACATTTTTTAATTGTACTTTAGATGAAGGTTTACAGAACCAATAGTTTCTCATCAAACAGTTAGTACACATATTGTTTTATGACATTGATTAACAACCCCATGACATGTCAACACTCTCCCTTCTCAACCTTGGGTTCCCTATTACCAGGTTGCCTGTCCTTTCCTGCCTTCTAGTCCTTGACTGGGCTGTTGTAACCCTTTAGTCTCATTTTGTTTTGTGGGCCTGTCTGATCTTTGCCTGAAGGGTGAACCTCGGGAGTGACTTCATTACTGAGCTGAAAGGGTGTCAGGGGGCTGTTACCACAAATCACTGATCTGAGCCACCTGCCGCAAAAGCCAGTACTGAGACAGATGAGGTGAGCAGCAAGAGGGTTTTATTGCATATCAGTATACAGTACACAGAGGGGAATGACCTCCTCCAAAAGTCCTGTCTCGCCGACTGGAGACTGGCTGAAAGGTTTTATATGGACAGGATTATAGTTTCTCTTCATGGTGGTCACATTCTGCATGTTCCAGTTGATCTAACTTCTTACTGGCAATCCTTGAAGGTTATCTGGCACTGTTAGTCACGATTGTCATGTCACAGATGAGTTAATCCTAGTCCTTGAGGGTTATCAATTTGTTCTGCCACCCTTCAAGGAGAAACTTTAGACAATCACACTGGAATAGGAGGAGGGAGGAAGAATAACAAAAGAAAATATGAGGAGAAGCGGGGGCTAGTAATGGTGGGAAGCAGTGGTGGTAATTGAGCTTATGCATCCTGTTCCAGGGCCATACTCTCAGGGTTTCTCCAGTCTCTGTCAGGCCAGTAAGTCTGGTCTTTTTTTGTGAGTTAGAATTTTGTTTTACATTTTTCTCCAGCTCTGTCCAGGACCCTGTGTTGTGATCCCTGTCAGAGCAATCAGTGGTGGTAGCCAGGCACCATCTAGTTGTACTGAACTCAGTCTGGTGGAGGCCATGGTAGTTGTGGTCCATTAGTCCTCTGAACTGATCTTTCCCTTGTATCTTGTTCTCTTAATTCTTCCTTGTTCCCGAAGGGGTGAGACCAGGGGGTATCTTAGAGGGCTGCTCACAGGCTTTGAAGACCCCACAGGCTACTCACCAAAGTAGAATGTAGAACATTTCTTTATAAACTATGTAATCCCAGTTGAGCTAGATGTTCCCTGAGACCGTGGTCCCCACAGCCCTCAGCCCAGCAATTTGGTCCCTCAGGGAATTTGGATGTGTCTATGGAGCTTCCATGACCTTTCTTTGTAAAAGTTGTGCTGGCTTCCCCAGTATTATGTACTGTCTTACCCTTCACCAAAGTTACCACTTATCTATTGCCTATTTAGTATCCCTTCCCCACCCCTCCCATCCCTCATAACCATCAAAGATTGTTTTTTTTTTGTGTGTAAACCTTTTCATGAGTTTTTACAGTAGTGGTCTCATACAGTATTTGTCCTTTTGTGATTGACTTATTTCACTCAGCATAATGTTTTCCAGTTTCATCCATATTATGAGATGCTCTGCAGATTCATCATTGTTCTTTATTGTCGTGTAATACTCCATTGTGTGTATATACCATCTGTTGATGGGCGTTTAGGTTGTTTTCATCTTTTTCCTATTGTGAACAATGCTGCAGTGAACATGGGTGTGCGTAGGTATATTCGTGTGATGGCTCTTATTTCTCTAGGAGATATTCCTAGGAGTGGGATTGCTGGGTCGTATGGTATTTCTGTTTCTAGCTTTCTAAGGAAGCGCCATATTGTTTTCCAAAATGGTTGTATCATTTTGCATTCCCACCAGCAGTGCAAAAGAGTTTCCTATCTCCCTGCAGCCTCTCCAACATTTGTTATTTCCAGTGTT